ATGTGTTTGATGAGACAAGACTCCTGCTCTCAACTAGCCCCCCATCTGGAGGGGATGGGAAATGGGCTGTGAGCTCTCAGATGGCAAGGATCCTGTCTGTGTTTATCACTGTTACAGGCTGCGTGCCCCGTCTGATTGACAAGGGAATGGATGTGCGGGCACTAACAAGACACACACACCGTGGTAAGAGCCGTATGCGCGGAGCACAGGTCACTCGGCTCCTACCAGGGGCTGGGCACGAGGTTCCTGGGTTGAGTTCAGGAGCATGAGCTGGAATGTGGAAGCCAAGATGTTTAGGCAGCAGAACTGATGCGAACGAGAAGTACTGAGAGAAGTGAAAGTGTAACATATTCTGAGAATTACAAATCCCACAAACACAGACGCTGCCGGTGCTCTGAAGCTGTTGGTGAGTCACAGGGGAAGAGTGGGAAGAGCACTGGATTGGAGTCGAGCGCAGGCTCAGGCCGCGCTCCTGTGGGACACTAAGCAAAGCAGGGGCCGGCCCTGCGGCTGGGGTCTGCCACACACTGTAACGTGATGTACCTCGCCTCACTGGATCGGTACCACAACTCTGGGTGGTAGGTATTATGGCTCCTGTTTCAGAGGTGGGGAAAGCGAGGTTAAGAAACTTGCCCAAGATTACACAGTGAATGGGGGGCACAGCTCTAATTCCAACTCAGATCTCTCCCCAAACCCACATTTTTCACACACCAGCTCCCCGTAAAATAAGTAATTTCAGGTTAGCTATGAACTCACCATCCCTGTGCAAGAATACCCAATCTGTGCACTTCCTAATCCTTACCTCCACGTCTCTACAATGCTATGGGATGTAGATAAAAAATATCCATAGAAGTGCCTCTAACAAGATCTCAGTGTAGAGATCTTTCTTTCAGTAAGAAAAGAAACGCTTTTCCTGAGAACTCTCAATTTTAAAGTACAAGTCCACACGACTGTGGAAATCAGGTTAACCATGCACACTGAAGTGTCATTTGCATTCCTGAATGTGACAGCAGAGAAGCAACGTGAAACAGTCACGTGCTAGTCACAAACAGTGGGGATGCCACCTGTCAGCAATGGTTAGCTCCTGAGCCCAACTGTGACCTCCACGCTAAGACACCCCATCTTGCTAAGACTGGGCTTTACCATGGGCTCCAAAGAAAACGCAGCAGCCGCCTCTCCCTTCCTGGCTTACCCTTACAGCATTACTCATCCACCGACTCCTGTGGTGGGCTGCAAACAGGGCAGGCAGCCTGGACAATAACCTCTTACCAATATTGATAATAAGCTGCCTTACATCTGCATAGCTGGAAGAATATACAAAAGAACTTGCACACATATTGTCTCATCTGGCTCATCCTTGCAACAACCCTGTGAGTTAGAAAATCACGTATCACTATCACACGTTACAGGGCCTAGAGAGGGTACAAATTACAACCCAGGAAATAAGCTACAAAATGATGGAGGTGGGATTTAACCCTATGTCTTCCTACTCCTGATCTTAACCTCAGATCATCCACCATCATGGCTGGAGAAACCACCTCCCTCTCATCCCTACTCCCCTTCCTTCCACTCTGGGTCAGGGGTGGGGGGGGGCGGGATCTCTACTGCGTAGACACTAAGGAATCGGAGCCCTCTTCTGCCTTCCCAGGGAGGAAAAGCCTGTGCCTCGCCCATCTGAAGTCCGACTGTCCTAGGTGAGCGCTATGTGCGCACCTGCCTGAGCTGGAGCACACCTGTTTGCGGGGCAGTTGGGATTCCACACCTGGTTATTAACTTCCACAAACAGCCTTTCACTCTACTAGAAGCATGGCTCGTTCACTAATTAAGAGTATTACACACTTCATTGCACACTAGCTAAAAACCTGAAATAAGAAAGCTTACATGAAAGCATTAGTCCCGAAGACGGCACTAGGTATGCTTTATAGAAAAACAGAAAAAGTAATCCACCTGTGGCAACCCCCTACACACACCCATACTTCACTTCTCTAATAAGTCAGCCACAGTACTTAGAGAGAGAAGCCACCCAGCAAAGGACAACCCCAGGCAGAGCCTAGTAAATAAGTCCAATGGAGAGGGCTGTGCAGCGAAGAGAATGAAAGACAGAGAGGCCAGTGGGCCCACTTCTCCAACAACCACCTGCAAGGTGTGGGCACACCTATCCCCCAGACCAGAAAGGGTGGGGAGACAAGGGGGATGGGAAGGATTACCCCTCACTGCAAGGTCCTGGAACAATCGTGGCATCATGATCTCTCTTATAGAGGCTCAACATAGCTGCTCACGGTGATCAATGAGTGAAAAAGACCCCCCTTCCCATGTAGGTCTCCTCCAGGTTTCCTGGAGTTTGTGCCCTTTTTGACCCTTCCTGAACAACTTGAAGATCCAGCCCTGAAGCTCATCCCCTTTTCAGTCCTGGGGAAGCTGATACATTGAGGGTCAGTCCAAGGAGGAACCTCAACCAGATCAGTCTTGAACTTGGTAAGGATGGCAGATAGTGAGTAATAAACCACATCCACAGGCAACTGCACTATTTGAGACACATCCTGGAGAGGTCAAAGGCTTGGGTAAGGCTTTAAAAGCGGATCTTTAGCCACTTGGGACCCCAGCAACTCAAATGATGGGCCAAGTGCAAAACAGCAGCCTGAGGTCAAAGAACCTTTCCTTCACATTGAAACTTGGTCATGAATTGAGAGGAAGCCGCATGTGGTTATGAGAATGCTTGAGAACTCTGCCCAGGGTCTGCTACTGACTGCAGTTTCTCCCTGGGCTACCCTCTCTCTGCTGTCCGTGGTCCATGTGGGTTCAGGCAGACAGAGGAACAGCTGAGTGCATTTCGAGCTGCATGGTGCAGTGGTGAAGCTGAGCGTTGCCACGGCACTAGAAAGCATGGGGTGGAATACAGGGATGGCTGCAGCCTCCAAGAATGAGGCATTTTCCCCATCTCTCCCCAAGCCACCTAAGACATTTGTGCATGGCATGGTTTAGGATCCTGTTTGCTCTGTTTAGAAGGGCTTTCAGTACTGTTGGTCCCTTCTCCCAGCTTGGACTCGCTTCTTCTTTAGCATACACTACTACTGATTTTGCTCTGCTTTTCCCCCACAGTGTTTAAAGCGGATAATACAAAAGAGCTCCCCCAGGAAACAGAGTTCTAAAGGATGTGAGAGGCAGTGCCCCCCCCCCCC